TTTCCTGAAGATAGAAGAGTTTGTTGAATCTGACGTGACATGTTCGTACGAACCCTTTGTACGAACAAAAGTAAGAGAAATTTAGGATAAAAATACGAACATGTTCTTGCATGAGGCCCATTGCTTTTTGTAGTTGTACTATCATTTTTAGCAATACAAATGCCAAAACAGTAACTGGTCCCACCATGTTGGATGTTGCAGTTACAACGCAGAGGCGCAAGTCGATGACGTAATCTGTGCTGTCCCAACTCTCAAATTTTTTGGACTCTTTTGTAACCTGYGCACTTAAACACTTACATGCACTTYGACTGAATCCACACTTCCAGAGGGGCATAGGCACTGAGCACTGGGACWGGGCCAACAGCCGAGAGTCCAGACCCTCGTACAAAGCAAAGCGAAGGACAAGGGTCTGGTTTAAACCAGGCTAACCAATCAGCGCTGACAAAAACATGGTTCAATTCAGCATTTAACAAACCCCAGCTTATTTTCTCACTTTGTCCTGGTAGTTGCAAAGTAGAAGAGCTGAGGAGATTTGCAAGCAGTSTCTCTAAATCCTCTAATAAACCCACTTCTGACACCATTTCACTAATCCCCCACCTCATGTCTGTAACTGGAAATGTAACAGTGGACGAGAACAAAGTGGATTGTGTGCTCCAGGATCGTACGGGACAGAAACTGAGCAGAAAATTACGCTGAAAATCATGACGCTTGTTTTATTGTCAGACAAACTTCCTCCTTTAACTTCTAGGATTTTATAGATCCAATCAGTTTTGATGGTTTGGAAGTGACCTTTGACCCTTTCCAGGTTGACAGACAGCAGCAACAGTTGCTTCTCCAGCGTCACTGCTGATGTGTGAACACACCTGAACAAAGACTTCCAGCACATCCTCACCTCAAAGACTCGGTGCTTACGTTTTACMCTGCCTGTATTCCTCCGACAGTTTAATCCTCCTCTTCCTCTCCACATGATCTCAAACACTCGCAGACAGACTCTGATGGCTATAAATGGCTTTTGACTCGACTCCCCTCCTTCCTCCCTTCATCTCTCCACGATCCTCTCACCCACTCACTCCTCCTCCTCTCTTTTTTATTCTATATTTCCCCATCCTCACCCTCTCTACCTAACAGAACGTCTACCTCTTCCTCTTGCCAGTCCCACCCTACCCCTCCCCAATTTCCTGCTCACGACTCCCACTTCCCTCCTCTCATCCATCTCACTGACTTCACTGGAACTCTGGGGGATCCAGGACAGACAAGTTGCCGTGGTAACAGGCAGAGCAGGAGGAATATATATATATA